CTTCTCTGCCCCTCCCCTGCTTGCTCTCTGTCTCTCTCTCTCTCGAAAATAAACAAACATTTAAAAAATTTTTAAACGTCAAAACATGATGAGACTTCGCACAGGTAATCGAGGCCCCAAAGCACTTGACCTGAAGGTACGGAGATTATCCTGACCTAACCGCCTGAACTACATAAAGGTCAAAGGTATACAGGTCAGGAAGAGGGCCAAGACTTAAAATAGGAGAGGGGTGTGATGCACAAAAGAAATTCTCCCCTGCTGGCTTTGAAGGGGGGGGGCACATGACAAAGAATGTGTGGGGCCTGTAGAAGCTGACGCAGCCTCTGGCTGCCAGCCAGCAAGGGAACAAGAACCTCAGTCCTACAACCGCAGGGCACCGGCTTCTGCCACCACCGTGTGACCCCGAAAGAGGGCCCGGAATTCCAGATGAGAACAAAGCCCCGTCAGTACCTTGACACCAGCCTCAGGGGACACCGAGTAGAAAACTCAGTCACGTCATATCAGACGACTGTCCTACAGAACTGAGCTGTTTTGAGCCACTACATTTACAGGGATCTGCTACACAGCCTAGAGAACTAACCGCAAATTCATGTACTGCCCCAAGGAGGTGAAAATTCCTGGCCCGCAGAGTATCAACAGAAGGGAGAAGCAGGTGACCGCCAGGTGACTCTTTTCGAAGGAACTACAGGCTACCCCCTCTTACTGTCCTCCGAAATTATTATTTTTCTCTCTAATAATTAGTTACAGAAGATTTTAATAGAGTGCTGTGGCTTTGATGATATCTGGAGTAGCAATTTTGTAATAATTAAATCTAGAAAAGAGACTAACTCTAGAGTTTTAAATCACAGGAAAAAAAATTTTTTTTTTTTAATCTAAAGCCATATAAGTATTTTTGTTCCAGAAGAAGATCCCTGGACGGCTGATGAGACTGTCAGGCATAAATTATATTAGGGTAAACTTCTCTCTGAAAAGTAAACGAGAGATATGATCCCCCCAAAAAATGAATGAACAATTTGATATTTTTGGCTACTAAAGAGCTGGTCCATAATTTTTCACACAGATGTTAGAGGACATCAAAATTGCTGTAGCATTTATATTCTAGTATATGCAAATGAAAGAGAGAGAGAATGGGTGTATTTTAAAATATCTGTGTACACAATTCTGAAAATTACCTTTTCTTACACATTTTTGACTCACAGATAAAAAATTCTAGACGTCAACATGAAAACATGTAAAGTGCACAGGTTTTCAAGTCTTGAAGGAGATAAAGAGGCAAAATTTGAAGACACACTAGGCTTTTTTTTTTTTACTTGACTAGCACCCATTACCCTTTTTCCTGATAACAAGAGCCCAGTTTTCCTTTGAGAAGCACCTTTTCCAGCCTACCTGACTTGATGTGAGTGAACACCAGACAGATACATATTCAACCACCATGACATCCTCCACAACGGCCGCAGCCCCGGCGTCGGCCAGGGCCCCGGCTCCGACCCCAACCAACCCCAGCCCCAGCCCCAGATCCAGGGGCAAACGCCTGATCAGGATCTGGACAACCAGATCATTCCATCCCGGAGCTCTGCCCCAGCCCCAGGTCCGGGGAAAACGCCTCACCAAGAACTAGCCAATAAGATCATCCCATCCTTCTGGCTCTACTGATTGGTTCATAGAGGGCATGTGACCAACGTCAAGTCACCAAGACTCCTTCCTAGGACTTGAGCTGAAATACTGAGTGGAGGTATCCTCTCTGGCTGCGATTGACAAATAGGCATAAGATAAACTTAATATCAGGTGGCTTCAACTGAAGGAGAGCCTGCCTAAGAAGGAACCTAACACAGAAGAAAGCAGAGCTGAGAGGTAGAAAGATTCTTGAAAACACCTTTGGAGCACCTGGACCCAACTCTGGACTCTTGAGTCACATGAGCCAATAAATCCCCTTTCTTGCCAAAGCCAGTTGGAGCGTCTGCAGCTAATAACCAAGTCCAGTGCAACTATTCCTGGCCTGGCTTGATGTCAGTTGTAGGAGATGACCGTTTCTAGGCTTTGGGTCCTGCTGCTGCCGGGCTCTGGTAATTCCCTGAGACTGTACTCCTGGGCCTCCCAAACCACATTGATCCAGAGCCAAGAAGACCATAGTAACAACCGCCACCCACCAAAATGCCGACAGAACTGATGATTTCAGAGGCTCGAAGATGCTGCAATTATTTTAAATGGTGAATTTGGAATTCAGGCCACGTTAAAGTCGCTGGAGAGCTCCTGACTCTCCATGTATCAAAAAAGTATTAAAAGTGGAGATAACTCATACACTGTTGGGGCAACCTTTCTGGGGTTCAAATTAGCAATAGCTTTCAAAAGCCAGATGCATACCAATATGCTAACATCCTAAAGTTGCACATATGTTTTTATTTATACATTCATAGAATATTTGTAGGAAAAAATCATAAGATACTGGTAACATGGGTTTCTAAGGCTAAAGGACAAAGACTCTCAATACTTTTTGTATCTTTTGAGTTGTGAATGTAATCTATTTAAAATTTAAATAAAATGAGAGTCATCCAAATAAATAAAATGTCCAATTCTTTGAACAAACAATCCCTCAACTAGGAGATAATCCTACAGATACATCCCCACCAGTGCACAAAGATGTATGTAGGAAAATATTCTCTGAGCTTTATTTTCAGTAGCAAAATAACTGAAAACCATTTACACACCCATCAGTGAAGTATAGCCATGTCAGAAAAAACTGTGAGCTGTTAAAAAAAAAAAAAAAATGATGGGGCGCCTGGGTGGCTCGGTCGGTTAAGCGTCCGACTTCGGCTCAGGTCATGATCTCACGGCCCGTGAGTTCGAGCCCCGCGTCGGGCTCTGTGTTGACAGCTCGGAGCCTGGAGCCTGTTTCAGATTCTGTGTCTCC